AGGATGAGATGGTTAGACAGTGTCATAGATGCAACGAACATGAAATTGAGCAAACTTCAGAGGACTGCGGAAGACAGGAGGGCCTGGCGGGATCTGGTCCATGGGGTCGCAAAGAGTCAGACTCGACTGTGCGACTGAACAACAACAACAACAAAAGTATAAATAAACACACACAAACAATCTTGTGGACATCTTTTTTCCCCACAAGTTATTTGCAACCAATACTGTCAAAGCAGCTGAATTGCAGTGCAGGAGCAGGTAGCAGCTTCTGTGCATTTTGCAAAAATACGGAGAGACGAACAAACAAAAATCCCCAAATGGATTCCCACATGACAAAGTCACTATTGACCAGCTCGGTCTGTGCCGAGGAAGAGGCTGTGTTGCTTCTGCGCTCTTTCCATTAAATTCTTTTTCTTCTTCCTCTTATCCTTTGTCTTCGGTGTCCTCTTTCCTAAAGATGGGAAACAAAGACAAAAGTCAGAGATCAGCAAAGGCCAGAGAAATCCTGTATGTTTTCTTGAGAGTGAGACAGGATTCGTAAGTTACTTCCCAACAGCAATTAGTATGATTGCTACATTTGCTAGTCCGAAAGGCCAAGAGACAAATGCCTCTCAACCCTTTCCTCCCCAGCCTTTTGTTCCTCAGTTTAAAACACCTTTCCAGAGCAGCCCTTAGGTCTTGCTGAAAAACTCCACCAAGACAGGTAACCTGGAAGAGCCATGGAAGGAAAAGGGTGAAATAACCCCTCTCACCCAGGAACCCTCTCCTGGTCTTCAAAACAAATGGTCAGAGGCTGCAAATTATATCGGCCCAAACCAATGCCATCCAATGTTCCCTCTAAGCTGTAGAGTCTTGTGAGCAAAAATCCTACTTTGTGAGCTCCTGGCATTAAAGCTGTGAGCAAGCCATTTGGCTCCTGAATCAATTAGTTTGCTCTGGAGCCCATCCTTCCTGAGCTGAGACAAAAATGTGTGAGCCGGAGGCTAAAAAACAGTGAGCTAGCTCACACTGACTCAGCTTAGAGGGAACAGCTGTTTTGAATCCTGGTTCTCCACACGTACTAAATGACCTCTTGCCTTGTTGACTGATATCCACTGGGAAAAGAACGGTGCAAGAATATATGAACGCTGTACATACAAGTATAGAACAGTTCCTCACAAAGAACAGAACGTTTCCCAAACTGCAGTGCTGTTCAAACCAACACTATTTTAATTCCTCCCTGAAGGCTGGCAAATATAAGACAGTTGCCACAGGGATTAGGCCAGCAGTGGCCTGTATATGGCTACGGATCCCTGCCCATCTAAGTGACTGTCGCTCAGTGGATGAAACTTCTCAATCTTACTGTGATTCTCCAGGCTCCATCTGGTGGAGAAGAGAAGGGCGAGAGCAACGAATGAGCAGCCAAAGGCCCATTTTGGTACTACTTTACTAACGGCAGGAGCTGCGGTGGCTCAAGTGGTTAAGACGCTGAACTGCAGGCTGTGGAAGGTCGGTAGTTCAGCAGTTCAAGCCCCGAGTGACGGAGTGAGCTCCCGTCTCTAGTTCCAGCTCCTGCCACCTAGCAGTTTGAAAGCAAGAAATTGCAAGTAGATAAATAGGTACCACTTCGGTGGGAAGGTAACAGCGTTCCGTGCACCTTGGTGTTTAGTCATGCCGGCCACATGACCACGGAAACGTCTTCGGACAGCGCTGGCTCTTCGGTTTTGAAACGGAGAAAAGAACCGCAACCCTAGAGTCAAATTCGACTGGCTTTTGAGCAAGGGAACCTTTTATCTTTACCTTACTAACTGAAAATGGTCCGATAAGAGGTAATGAGAGGCCCAAACCAGTGATGAGGGGCACGTTTTCTTCCAGAAAAATTTCCAATGCTATATTTTTCTGTGGAAAAAAATTCTGCCCGACACTTGTAAATTTTAGTACTATTGTGCTACAAATCAATCATGTTTGATGGGCTAGATACGAAGCATGGACAAACTCCACTGTTTCTGCGGAATGTATTTGCCTTCTTATGCTAACAATTATTTAAATTATCTACATTTGAATCATAAAAGTTTCCACTTCAAAATTTTCCTGGAAAACCCATATTACTGGCAGAAACCAAATATCCAGATTTACAGAGCAAAATCTCAGGTCTCCCCAGCAGGATTTGGCTCACCTGGCGCCAAATGATACAAATGTTGTACAGTCCAAAGTTATGAATTCAGATTTGTATATTTGACCAAATAGAATGTAGTTTTGCTTCTCAATGGTTTCCTGAAACTGCCACCTTGTTATCTACCAAGCATGCTGAAATGTAGCTTAAGTAAGCATCCCAGTGCCTCCCAATACATTATGAGATCCAAGGATATGGCAGGTATCAATGCTGAGAATAGGATTAGGCAAAATGGCACCCTTCGTGTCATTAGCCCTCCATGCAACATTGGCCCATTTAATCATGTCATGACATCATCACATTACTCCCTATTCTATATTATTGGCCACCGCTGACAGAGACAGGGAAGTGTCCAGACTCAGAGAAGCTCTCATGGTGTGGTGATTAAAGTGCTGAACTAAGATCCTGGAGACTCCAGTTTGAACCCCCACTCTACTGTGGAAGTTTGTTGGGTGATCTTATAACAGCCTCTCACTCTCACAGCCTAACCACCTCACAGGGTTGTTGTAAGGATCAAATGGAGGAGAGGAGAACTACGTAAGGCACACCATTTTTGCTTCTAAGAAAACCCCTGATGCCTGAGTTGGAGAAGGACAACAGGGACGCAAGAAAGCTCAGCGGTATGCCTGGGCCAAGGAAAGAACTCAGCTGCTTTTTCAACTCCAGCTTGGGAAATTCCTGGAGATTGGAGGGTGATGTCTGCAGCTCTGAAGAAGAAGAAAACACATTTGCCTAGGGACAGTACTGTGGCTAGGCCTGGGAACTGCTGGTTTTAAACTCTCTCTCTCACTTATGGGGTCTCTTGGTGAGCTTGGACAGGTTACTTTTCCCTCTGCTTCAGCTCCCATAGTGGCCAATATAGATCTGTCCGAGAGCACCACTTAGGGTTACCAACCAATCTCCCAAAATTACAACTGATCTCTAGACTACAGATATCAGTTCCCCTAGAGAAATGGGAGATTTTGGAAAACAGACTCTGCAGCATCATATCTCCACTGAACTCCTAATCCTCCCCAGATTCCTTGATCCCCAGGCTCCACCCCCAAACCTCCAAGAATTTCCCAAGCTGGATCTGGCAACCCTAGACCGCAATTATGTACTATGAATGTGACTGAAACAATGAATCAAAATGGTAGACTGGCCATACTTACCTCAAAGTAAGACAACCCTGAACATAAGGTGACCCTTTCCCCACATTTAAACAAAGGTTATACAAAGAAGATTTTGTGGTATCTTATATATATAATTCCCCTAATGCGTTGGCCATTTCCAGTTCTCCCATTGGCTGTGCTGTGCGCTCCATCAGTCACTGGCCCATCAGCCGCCACTAAAGAGTAATTGTGTGCCATTGGCTGGGTGCTGGGTCTGTTCTTCTTCCCCATCCACTGCTGTTCCCTGTCAGAATAACTGCCAAAACGGCTATCTCTCCTGACAAAGACACTTCTCCTGCTTGGCTCCTGTGGGACTAACTTTTCCCTCAGTGGCTGTTGCTAGGCAACCAAGTTTGGTTCTGTCAGTAAAAAGGTAAAGGCAGAAGACCCTTTCCAGGCCTTTGTGGGGAACTCATTGGGGCCAGTCCTGACTAGGGTTGCCAGCTCCAGGTTTGAAAATTCCTGGAAATCTGAGGGGTGGAGCCTAGAGAGGGTGAGGACCTCATACAGGTACAATGCCATAGACTCCACCCTCCAAACCAGCCATTTCCTCCTGGGGAACCAGTATTGCCAATCTCCAGGTGAGGGCTGGAGATCACTCAGAATTACAACTGCTCTCCAGGAGGGAGGGGAGAGGAGACGGAAAGCTGAAGTCAGAGGGGCAGATAATGGTAGGTTGATGGTTGGCTGGGAAGGAGATAGGGTTGCCAACTCCAGGTTGGGAAATTCCTTGGGATTTGAGGGGTGGAGCCTGGAGAGGGTGGGGTTTGGAGGAGGGGGTGGGACCTCAAACAGGTACAATGCCATAGGCTCCATCCTCCAAACCAGCCATTTCCTCTTGGGGAACCACTGCTGCCAATCTCCAGGTGAGGGCTGGATATCACTCAGAATTACAGCTGCACTTCAGATAGCAGAGATCAGTTCCCCTGGAGAAAACAGTGGACTCTGTGTCATTATACGCTGCTAAGGTGACCACAGCAAATTGACGCTGAGTGCCCAAGGCCAGGCACTTGCCCAGAGCCTCTTTCTAGAGCTCATTGTATTTATTTCCACAACAGGCCTTATTCCTAGTTATACATAACTGTCAACTTCCATGTGAATTTAAAATCGCCCCTAATTTTCTTGATGGCACTTCTGAAGTAGAAGAAACCCAGTTTTCCTTTCTTGTAGGAGCTGCAGTGGCTCAAGTGGTTGAGACGCTGAACTGCAGGCTGTGGAAGGTCGGTAGTTCAGCAGTTCGAGACCCGAGTGTGCCGCATGACGGAGTGAGCGCCTGTCTCTAGTTCCAGCTCCTGCCAACCTAGCAGTTCGAGAGCAAGAAATTGCAAGTAGATAAATAGGTACCACTTCAGTGGGAAGGTAACAGTGTTCCGTGCGTCTTGGTGTTTAGTCATGCTGGCCACATGACCACGGAAATGTCTTTGGACAGCGCTGGCTCTTCGGCTTTGAAACGGAGATGAGCACCACAACCCTAGAGTCGGATTCGATTAGCTTTCGAGCAAGGGAACCTTTACCTTTACTTTATAAAAGAGTATTGCTTTTGACCATAAATCCAGTCATGTTGGTTTGTCTTGGATACTTCAATGGGCTGATAGCTAGGCACCTTGTCTTGGTCCCCAACAGATGTAACGCCAGAAGGATTGCAGGTGTGAACAACTGTCCTACCAACCAGGACTGAACCAGAAGACCCCCTCTTTTTTTGTTCAGAACAGGGGCTGGGGGGGGGGGAGATGTCAAAAAAGTTCTCCCTTTTCAACTGTTCCATCTGGGCTTACTTTGTCACCATGACCAGGTATTGCTCCTGAAAAATATACTCTTTTAACAACAACAAATACAAATTTGGAACCCATTCATGAAGAGTATTAGTAATATTTAGACAGGAGCTTATCACCCATCCTTAGGGGACCAAAACCAAGTGATATGATGGAATAGAACTAATGCATTTCTTTGCAACAAGCTGTATTATCAATAAAATATATTATCTCTTACTGGTCTTTAGTGTTTCTTATCACCTCATTCTGTAATTTTGGCTTTTCTTCACGTAATCTGTAATGCAATTAAATATGAACACAGTTGTCTCTCAAAGTAGACTGTGTGTGCGTGTACTTGTTGCTGTAAGTTACAGAGATGGATGATTATAGCGCCTAC